CATACAACGAGGAGCTCCCGTGTTTCGAACATCGTTCGATGCGATACGCAGTCTCAGACAGTGCCGGAACTGGCCGTTGCCAGCAACAATGAATTCAGTTCCTGGCCCCCTCCAGCAAGATATAAGGAAGAGGTCGTCAACGGAGTCAATGCCTCATTCCGGGCACGTCGGACCGATTTCAACGCGGCCTATCTCCTGTTACACGGAATTAGTCAGTTGCTATGCAATTTTCTTCCGTCGTCCCGTTGTATTTCCGCTTCCCCGTGCGCTCCTCTACGCGAATACACCGCCCGTCGTTCCACTTTACCTGGGACGACAGCGACTCTCGCAGCGAGATCCTCGACTTAAGCGACCTCTCCTGGTCTCTTTGTCTTAGAAATCACGCGAGCTGCCAGTGGGGTCGCGCGGACGCACGTGGAGAATCGGTTGTGCTATCGACGGAGCTGTGGTCCATGGAATGCCTCGACTGTCGATTATTTACCCCAACCTGACTCGGAGCTCCACGTAAGCCAGAGATAACAAGCAAGCCGCGATGGAGCCGACTGACGATTTACCGGAGAGGACCCGAAACTCTCCGCCAGTCTGAAAACGGGGAATGTGAGTCTCCCGTGCCGTCGTGACATTCGCTCATATTCCTTATTTAGTCTCCTGATCAGACGGGTCTGGATCTCGCAGATTGTCGAGGGATCTTTCTCCGAATTTCCCCTTTCCGCTCCCCGACGCGATTCCGACAAAGACTGCCGGAGGGAGGCATTGGGAATTTGGAGAGGACTTGAGACTCGGAAAGGAAAAGGAGAAGAGCTGGTGCTCTCCTATAGAAAATGATTCAATACATCCGTAAGGTCGATGCGGCGCAACACACAAGTTGAGAAAGATCGACGGTTCCGGGCAAAGGGATGAGGGACCAACGGGAAGAATTATTTCACCACCACTTATCTTTTCTGTCATGCTGACGGGCTCTCCTGATTGGCAGTGACCCGCATCCTCCTCAGCAATTTGCTCGCGGTTAGTTAGTTCATACAAGAGCCAATCAGAAAAGAGCAAGTCCGGCACTTCATGGACCGCTACCGGCACTTGCCACTCACTTAGTCAGTTGCGCGAGTCGCGCCGCCTGAATGCTTCGCGGATGCTCGAGGATTTCGCAGGGGATTAGCCGCGGATTTGAGGGGCAAAAACGAATCGTGGCGCACACCGGATGGACCAGTAGGGAAGATCCACATGTTCGAGAACGATGATCCAGCCAATTTTTTCTCCCTCGTTAGTCACTCCATTCGGAGTCCTGGCCGCTGCCGGCGAGGAAGCCGTTTTGACGGGCTATGCCGTCGATACGGTGGATCCCGGGCTCATATAGATTAGAAATTACTCCCTAAGTCTCCATGGAACTCTGAGCGACAGCGGCGGGAGCCAATCGACGCGACGCGAGCTAACGATGCGGGAACGAGGGGTTAAAAAACAAAACATAAAAATTATCGTGCCGGCGGTATGGAATAGCGGAATTCCCTCTCGAGCCACGGGGCTTGAGTTTACTCGGTCGCGAAGCCTGTCCCGGGAACGAGGTCCGCTTCTCGGAACTGATGCGAGTAGATACTTGCTCACTGTGCAGCGGTTTCTCCGCGTCGCATCGAGGTGTAAATATCTAGCTCAGCGCGCGCGAGCTTGTGGAGCGGCGTCCGGATGCGAACACGGAAGTGTGGGCATCGGGGCGAAAGCCGCTTTGCAACAAATGCATTCTGACGCGAGTGAAAATCTCGATTCAGGACTCTCAGAAGCTTCTCCCCCCTCCTCGCCTGCTTACGCGGACCTGAGGCGCAGTCACGGAACGACGTAAGGGCTGAAACGAACCGAGAAGTCAGGCATACGGGCAAACTGTCTGAAAGATTGGTTCCTGTGGAGAAAATCGCCGCGAGCAACTTCGTTTCTCACTCCGGAGGGCGCGCACGGTGAAGAACGATGACGCCGCTGTTGAATTGCCCCAGGAGCCTCCGGGATCTTGCTGCCGACCTACGCGTTCTCTCCTTTAGGAACGCAGGGAGGCAAGCGAGCGAATGAAGCAGCGGCGAACGAGTACTCTGGGCCGCTGAAGGTCATCGACAGTGAACCATGCAGGAGAACGTATACAGGAAAAGTCTATTCGCGAAAGCTCGAAGCGTTCCGGACGCGAACGTTGGCCTTCTCAGGCTTTCAGTCGAGATCGTTCTCGCATGGGTCGAGTTTATATCGCTACATTCGGACGTTCAGCCCCCGTCTGCTTTATCTCCGGCTTCGTTTGCAATGCAGCGAGGTCGTGTGGACCTCTCAGAGCCCTTTAACCTCGAGGTTCACATAGTCGTTTGCTCTACTGACCCGGGTCGGTGAAGTCCGGCGGCTAATTTCCTCAAACAGAAAACACCTACCCACTTCTCTCCTTAAGCCCTCGAGAGGATTTTAGTTTTGGACAGATCTCGCCGTCGTACCCTCGAACGCACTCAACGAACTCGCCTGCCCTCTCCGCTATTCGCCCTCATTCGTCTACCGAGCCGCTGCTCCGCGGCAGATTGTCCGCCTCGCGGAGAGAATCCAGCCCGAGTTTCGGAACGCATCCCGGCAACGGGGAAGAAACGGTCTGAGGGAGTCGAGATGTTTCTTCCCGTTCAATCCAGTGAGCGTCGGCGAAGAGCACCCGCGGATGCCTCGGACGATCTCCGAGCCCTCGTGGAACGCCAGCCACGTAATTTTCATTCAGCGAGCTTCCCGTGGAGATATGCAGATATCTTTTCGTACAGCCCCGCTGTTTGCGCGGCTCGTAGAAGCTAAGCTCTCGAGCCGCGTTATCTTTAATAAACGGAACAAACTCATGGGTTCTATTCTCTTCCGACCAATTCAGACGGCTCCCCCATTTCGCGTTGCCCTCCTCCGCCCACGGCGGGGAACTGACCAGTGGACGGCCTGTGGTTCGAGCAACGGAGGAGAACAGATTCGAAAAAGTCAAGGGATGCAACAAAAACCACAAGCTTGTCGGGAGTTCCACCCGGAAGGAATTTCGTAATCTGTCGCTCGCTTCGGTGCCTCTACGCAGGCAGCTAGTCGACACATTCTCCCTCCGGATTGAGAGGTTCTGGGTTTTCCCCTGCTCATTCTCCCTGTTCTCGAAACGGGCTAACTCGTTTGACGCAAACCCGACATTCCGTGGATATATTCGCTCGCTTCCACGACAACGGAGGAGAGAGACGGAATAAATCCGGTAATCCGAACGTTTCAAGGAGGCTCGTACTTGAATCACGCTTGGAAGTCGGGAGGAAACTCAATATTGGAGAATTCGCGATGAATGCTCCAGGAGGAGTATCTACTGAAAGAATGTTCGACTACCGGAGCGAGTGCGGGGCATCAAGGGGGCGAGATGCAGCATCGCCCAGACCGTTCACCGAATCGGTGCTCGAAGCCGTCATGATTATCTCCTCGGAGGCCTCATCCGCTGAACGGAAGAGGATCCGCTAATCACGATAAGCTCCCGCCGAATCTCCGTGAGTTTCGCGCGTGTGTGTGAGAGGCTCAGGCTCCGTCTGTTAGATTCATACCGACGCCCTCCGCTACGGAACAGAACGGAACAGCAGACTTTATGACCAGCCGCGTTTCGTTCAATAGAGGAACATAAAATTGCGAGAACTTGTCGAACACTGGATTCGAGGCAGAGGACATGAACGAGCGACGTGCGCCACGAGTTCTCGTCATAAATCCTCTTGGCTCGTCCTATTAATCCCCAATTCCGAGTCCGGAACCTATTCTCGGGCGCTGGCTCTCGCACGCGTTCCCCGCATGAGCGTGCGCATTATCCGGCACACGTCCCACGTCTTGATATTTGCCGGCGTACACAAGGCTTAGAGCGTATACGACCATCTAGCTCGATTCATCCTGCTTGTTTGCTCTCCCGTCCCACGACTGCTCTACTCGTTCGAAGGACTACGAAGGGAAGGAGCCGCATCGGGAACGATTCAGCATACATACATTCGCGCGAAGAGTATTGTCGGATGCTTGTTAGCCATACTATGGCATGTTCCGTACGGAGAGCTTGTTTCTCGAATGAATGACGCAGCGCTTCAGCGTTCGGTGCTTGATCAAGACAGGCGATCGAGCGGATCCAGCGGATCAAATAAGGCAGAGACCGCAAACAAATGAATACATACTTCTCTGATGATTCCCGCTCCTATGTATGTGAAGAGGGGCTTCGAATTCTCGGGAAGCCCCGAGTTTGCTCACGGAAGAACCTCGATTTTTTTCCACATCGTCGAAAAGCGGCCAGGCGTGGTCGATTCAATGGAAGCAGATTGAGTGCTCGGCGAAAACTTGAAGAGGATTCTGATTGGAGGGCGAAAGCTCGTTCGGAATCGAGTGACATCCGCATGAATAGTAGACGACCTTTGTAAGGGCTGGATGACATCGGAGGACCATTGAGGCGCATTCTAGGATAGCGACTTGAGAGATCTGAATGGATTGACAGCGAATCTTGCATTTCTTCCTTTTCAGGAGAAAATGAGCGGACCGGAGCAACAGAAACAGTTGTTGTACCACCACCGGAGGAAGAGGAAACTTCGGAGGCGGACCCGGAGAGGTTTCTCCGAGAATCTAGCGGCTCTCCAGGTCCTCCCAGCCCCGGTCCCTACGGCGCTAAGGAGTCGCTGTCCCCGCACACGGCGCTTCGGCACTCCGCGTCGACCCCGCTGCTGTATCACTCGGCGCAGGAGAACACCTCAGCAAGTTCAACTCCTAGTTCTTGTTCGTCGCCTTCGAAGAAAGTCTCTAGCAAGGATAGTTCACCGGCTGGATCGACTTTGCGCAGATCGAACGTTGTCGTCGCCGGCGGCAGCAGGAGCAGCAACGGCGGTGGCAGCGACCGACGCAACAGCGGCGGCTATAGTACCAACAACAATAACGGGAACGGTGAATGCCGGAACAGCAGTCAGATCAATAAACTTGTTAGATCAAATAGGACCCCTTCCGAAGTTTCCTGTAGTCGACTCGAGGACCACGCTCTTCTCTCGCCTCGCCACGCTCTTCCACAGAGCCATCGGTCCAGCTCGCCGTATACGTACGCCAGGTGGGTTCTCCGAACGACAACTCCTCTCATCCCAAGCTAGATCGTGAGCAGTCGTTGTGCTCCTGCGCCAATCTCGTTTCTTGTCGCCTCCTCGTAGTTCAGCCCATGCTGATCCTCCGGCCGTTGCGTCTGGACCCGAAGCAGAAAAAGATCACTAGTATGTTTGACTTGGCTTGCTCCGGCCGAATGCGACCCCGGCGGTCCCCGTGCCGTATGTCATGTAGCCAATGAGTTGGAAAGCAATTGAAAACAAGCGATGCCGATGCAGCCACTAAGGGAAAAGACGAACACGCAGCGCAGAGCTGTATAGCCAGTCAGTCAGCCGACTGGTCGTCTGGTCGCACTTTTCCTTCCGTATGTATCGAATCTGTCAAGAGAATTCCTTCTCGGGGAGGGGAATTCCATCTATCGACCTGTTCATCGAATTCTCCCAAAGCCAGGCGGCAGTCGATAGCGTTCACGGCAGCCGGCGTAGAAGTCGGTCTAAGACCGCGGATGAAGATAGGTTACACCATAAAGAGAAGCGTGCAGAATTCTCATATTCGAACCGCTCTGAAGAGAGACAAAGTCTAACAATCTGGAGCCAGATTACGTCGTCTCCGTCCCGAGAAGCTTTATCTCAAAAGTGCCAGAGAGGCGGAGAGGAGGACGGGAAATGGAAGAAAGGAAAAAAAACGAGATTGCGGTGAGATGCTCTTATTCCACCTCACCTGCCTCTAGGCTGGGCAGTTCCATGCTCTGGCAAGCATTCGTATCCAAGACGAGAACGAGCGATGCTCTCAGCTTGTCAAGCCACCGTCGCTGTGATGAGAAATAAATAGAGCATTCGAGTCCCATCTCTTCGCCGCCCATTCTATGGGAGTCTCCACGTACAAGTCGAGTGAGGGAGAGCGCACCGAGCGGACTGATGGCATCATCCACATATCAAGTACCAGGGTGCACTCTGCTCCATCCGAGCGAGCGCGGACGGGCGTGTCGAGTAGCCAGAATGGCTAGCCGGACGGGTAAACGGCCAGCGGTATCCGCGAGTTCCCGCCGTAAGTTCCCGGCAAGCTCCTTCTTCTGCGTGAGTTTCCACATACCACCGCGGACCTTACAAAAAGCGTCTCGCTCGGCTCCCTTGTCGTAAGCGACCATGCAAGCCTCTGGAGGTCAGCGGGCTCTCAAGCGGAGCTCTGAAGGTCACCCCTGGGACGGGGAAAAGGGGGGGGGGGCGGAGATTCTCAGGAGCGACGACTACCCGGCTTACATCTTCTTCGAGGGAGCTCAGCAAACCGTAGAATTACATGTCATGCGCGTGAATCGGAATCCTATACGTGATTCTCTTCAGGCGAACGATTGCTTCGGTTCCTTGAACGTCGACTCGCATTCCATCACTCCATGAATGTCCGAGAGTGTATTATTTGTTCTCCTTATCATGGAGCTCACTCGAGCGTTTTCTCTCGCCATGGGATGAGATTTCCCCGGCGGGGGACGTGAGCTCGGGTATCGGTGTCGGTTTCGAGCTTTGTTTTCCCTTTTCGGCATGCGACTATTGAAGATGAAAGTGGATTGTCACACGAGATCCTGGATTGAGACGCGTCCTTGTATTCCGCAGTTATGATTCTTCGGCGTCAGCCCTCTCCAAACTAGTAGCTCAAGAGGCTGTGAGCGAGCGTTTAAACGGGCAGACAAGAGCTTTAAAAGTTGGTATTCGAAGAGCTGAAAATAGGTTGAATTTGAGGGTGGAGCACGCCAACATCATTTGCGATACGGAAGAGCTGACACGCCATCCGAACTTGACGCTCACTTGAAAGCCTCTGCGTTGTCGATATCGCCGACCGTTGACGTTTTCAGGTGTTATATTATTCGATTTATTCGCTTGTTTACCCCTTGAACTTCAAGGGTGCGAAATTTATAGACTGGACGGCGACGGTGGACGTCGCCTGCCTCTTCGCTCTGACACTCACGTCAAGCGACGAAAGTGCTGTAAGCCTGCGAGTCTTCGCAGCAGTGGGTGGCAGCTATAAATACTTTCTAGTAGTAGAAAGGTGGGGCAATCTCACAGCTGTTGCAAGCTGTTATTTGTGAAAAATGAATGACAACCCATTATCTTAAACTCTGCCGAGTGGAAATCGCTCTCAACGGGTTGCTCTGGATCGATATCCTGGTCAGAAGGAGCTTCGAAACCAACGTCACGAGCATGATCCGACCCCGAGAGTTTCTGGAAGCAGGTAACTCAACGGGCTCCGCAGAGCGGATCGCGATAGGTTTCGCTGATTGAAAAGTGGTGACCTCGATTCTCCGCTACTCCGAGAAGATTTTCATGGCGAGGGCTCGCTCGACTCCGACCCAGTTTGCCGGAAAAGTCCCTAAAGAGCCGGACGAGAGAAACCGACCCCTGTGAGAACTTCGGGTCCTGACGAGTCGCGATCGTTGGGTTCGGAAAGAGTGAGAGACTTCGGCCGCGAAGCGAGGAGATAACGTCGTCATCGAGGAGCCTCGAGAGAGGAGAAATCTGATTTCTCTTAGATTAGGCTGATGAGGAATATTTTGCAGCCACTTCTCCAAGTGGAATGAGACGACTCGAGGAAATTGGAGAGCGAGTCTCTAAGCTTGAAATTGACGGGAACGAGCCCCCCACCCCGAACTGATCCCAAGCCCCACCTTTTCCTCCGGTGGCCTGGATGGTTCTTGAAGCAAATTCGGAAGTCAGTGGCACTGACTCAGTCATTCGGTCGGTCGATAGGTCGGGCGTTCCTTTGACCGTCTGCCCTTCCGTTTTGCTCGAGTCTTTCGATGGAAGCTCCTGGTGGTCCCATCTGGTGTCTGTCGGCCTTTTCATCACGCGTCGTAGATATTCATAAGTGCTATGAATAATAAATGCGGTTATTTATACGCAACTCTGTGAAGACACGCGTGTATGTGGCCCACCAAACTGCTGTCTATGGGGATTGCATGCCAATAAGTTGTTCTCACTCTTTCATCCGCCGGAGAGCTGGTTTTCCCGCCGCAGACCGCTCTACTTTGCTGTCCTAGAGAACTTTTCCCAAAACTGCATCTGCCCGACGTGTCCGACATGTTTCGCTCGCTCGTGCGTTCGCAGACGTCCGCTCTTCTGGCGAACACGGAAAAAATGGCGGATGCCTGAATGCTGATCCGGCGTGAGCTTCGAGTGAGCTTCCCGCAAGGAAGTCCTCGGGGGAGTTTCCTCGACAAACTTCACGCTTCAACTCGGTATGAGAGGCGTAGCGTGAAATAAAGCCCGAGACGTTGTTGCGCCGCCCGGCCGCCGTTTCAGGCACATCCAAAGCGATCCTAATGATTTTCTTGTTTTCCAGCACCAGCGGGCTCAACTCCCTCCCGCCGAGTCGGGGTCGCCACAGTCCCGATCAGAGTGACGGTCACGCTTCTTCTAGCGGAGAACCGACTGAAGGTGGACGTCAGCCCCTCGCGGCCAGCCAAAGCACAGAGGCCGTTCATAAGCCGCTGTCTCTGAACTGGCATCGCACCCTCCACGGGCTGGCCATGAGTCGCCCCGTCAACCAAGAGGGCGCGCCACCCGCGCCAGACCCCCTCGCCGACGCTAAGTCCCCCCAATCACTGGTCCCCACGCCGCAGCAGCCGTTGCTCACTCAGGTATGTATACTCAGGTGTGCCGTCGACGTCGTCGTCGCTGCCGCTCATAAATCGAGGATTCCACCTCGTACGAGTCGAAGACCGCTTGCTCGTCGGAAAATGTATCGCAGCGGAGCGAATTTAGCCACTGACGTCGAACAGGGAGGGCGTACTCTCTACAAAAGCAGTAAACACCGTGCTCGCTAACTTGATTAGAGACGACAGCATCATAGGCGTTTCTTTTCTCTCTTTCGTTCCCTCGATCCCGCGGCTTTATCGGGCACGCGGAGGATTTTTGATCGAATAGCTTCCGCTAACAAACTTTGTTTCGGGAATTTCCCATCGGGGTGTTTGTTTTCATTCAATCAGATGACTTCCTGCATCGAGGAGCGTTTATTGTTTTGAGCCAAGCGCGAAAGTCGGCCGACTCAAGTTTCGTATGGATTCTAAGCGGCTCTTGAAGGCGTCCGCCCTCGGACCGAAATCGTTTGAATGTAACGGTGATTGTTTACAGATGTCGACGGTGTCGGGCGCGGCTGCGATTCCCGGACCAGTGGCTCCGGGGGCTCCAACTCAGCCCGGCGGCCAGACTCAGCAAGAGAGACGCCGACCTGTTCGAAAGGGACCCAAGGTCGTGGAACGACCGCAGCGAGCGCTATTCTGCTTGACGCTCAAAAATCCCCTGCGAAAACTGTGCATTTCCATCGTAGAGTGGAAGCCGTTCGAATTCCTTATACTATTTACGATTTTCGCTAATTGCGTCGCACTAGCGGTTTACACACCGCATCCGAACGGAGACTCGAACCAGACCAACTCCACTTTGGTACGTAATCGAATCAGAAGCCCATCTCCGTCGCGAAGGCGCACTCTCGCATGACCAATCGCCGATCGACGCACGAATTCCACGAATCGGAGACCAACCTAATTAAGAGATGAGCTCGATGCATGCCCACGCCCCCAGCGGGGATTTCCCCATGAACTTCTGTTATTATTATTGATCGTGATTGATTCTTTTTTCGATTCGAATGTATTCATTTCGATTCGACCGCGCATCTCGATTTCTGCCTTCATCATTTCTAGGTATCTGCATTTCTCGGTCTGATCGAAATTTCGACGGATGCCATATTTGACAGCCGCGGGAACGCATTCAGAAGAGTCTGGGGCCGCATCTGCCGTGGGGGCAGCAGCTCCCCTCAAGACCCGCCGCCGTTCCCGCCATCCATGACTATTTCAAAAAGCTTGCGTTCCCTGCTTTCTTTGAATAAGGGAACATTTCAGAGCGTATTGTACAGGTACCAGCAGAAGGTGCTGGAAATCATCTGCCCTAGACGAAGGGGCAGCCTCTGGTCCCGGGGCCCAGGGGCCGCGTTTGGGACAACAGCTGGTCGGGGCATTGGTCGGCGAAGCTCGCTAGCGAGCGGCAGGCCATGCAGCGCAGACGCGGCCCAACACCTGAGGTGAACTGCGGTCTCTTGTGAGGAAGTCCGGGCGCGGTAGCTGACTCGCCGTCAGCGCTGTTCTTGTTCCTCCGATCACTAATCGGAACCCGCAAACCTTTCGTGGCTTTTATGGCGCCCGCACGCCGCTCGTACATAGATGCTCTTGTTGTCCTGTACGACTCTGCCAGTCTTTTCATCCAGACCGGCAGATCACCACCGCGCCGCCGCGCCAACAACAGGACATCATCGACCATCCATGCCTAGCGAGGTAGCTGGGCGGGGGAGGGGGGAGGGAAGCTTATTGGTCCTTTGTCGTGCCGTTCGCCACACATAGAATATATACGTGACAGCGTTCTAGGCGGCTACTGGCGGACATCCGCCCACGGGAGTCCGATTGGAGCTTTCATTTGGCGAACGGATCTTCTGCGCGATTATTGTTCTCCTGGGCTGATCGAGATGATTCACGTCAAAGGTGTTCGTCGGGCAGTTCCTAGGGCGTGAAGCAAAATTAGAACAGCGCGGCAGACGGAATCTCTCGTGACGGAGCACCCATGTACGTATCCAGAAAGGCTCCCGCTCTTCAGCGGAAATAGGTACGCTCTTCTCGAGAGGGGGGAAGGAAGTAAAAGCCTTAATGCCGCGACTCGTTATAATGTATGGCTTGCTTCGAGAAACAGCCCCGGGGAAAGCGGGAAATGTCGCTCCGTCGCTACAGGTCTCTTTCTCGTAGCCGGGAAGTCTCGCGGGATGGAAGACCTGGCTCGAGAGCAAACATCGTACGCTCCAAATACGCGCCTTCCGAGAGCGCATTAAAATCGCTGCTCAGGTCGGGGTCATATTTCTTGGAGCACAGTCGTCGTGGTCCCGTTTTTCTCCCACGCCTGACGCTACGGCGGCGTCGACGTCATACCAGTCAGGCCTATAAAAGATTCACGCTCCGTGATTTACATCAGATTTTATGGCCTCTAGTCTAGCGTCGGACTCGACTATTGGCTTTGCTCCCTCTCACAGTATGGAAGCGCGCCGAGGGCAGCACTCGCGTCGGCAGACACGGGAGTGGTAAAGATGGCTTCCTCTTCTCCACTCTTCGTTTCGAGCGTAAGAGCTTCGCTGAATTTCGAGAGCATCTCAATGAACGCCACCTCTACGTCGTCGTTTGCCTCTTCGATCCACATCGGTTCTGAAAACGTCGGCGGCAACGGAAGCCGCGAACCCTCCGCTTGAAGGAGTGAACGGGGGCCGAGCGCCGACTCCGGTTGAGTCGGAACCGGCTTGGCTGCACAACTACTTCCCGTATGATAGTGGACTTTCGAGACAACATTTTCGGGGTCACCCATGCAACCGAGCCTGTACGGGACGGAAGAACGCTCAAGAGCGCCGCCGCCGAAGAGGAAGGAATAGAGGACGATCGCACTCATCTTGACTTGAACTATCCTGACTTCGGCAGGCTCTCGCTAACTCAGCTCACTGACGTCCGTGAGCGGACTTAATGAAAAATTGCCTTCCGCAGTGGACGCGTGCGTGCTTTCTGCGAATGAAATCGCTCCTCATTCAAATCAGTCCCCTCATTCCGGTCACTTCGCATTTTGAGATGTTCCGAGTGGTTTCCCTTACCCCCAGAACATTGAGAGAAGAAACAATCGACGCGGGTCACTCTTCCCGCTCACGGAGATGAGAATCGAAAACGGAGTTAACCCGACATGAGGCCGCGAGCTCCGATCGTGATCGGTCGGAGTATTAGCGTCTACGAACTTTTCGTCGGTTCCGAAGAGTTCGTCGAACCAGCTCACCGATGAGCATCGACCCACGATGAAGTCACCATTCATCATCAGGAAGGCGTGACAGCGAGTGTCTCCGCTGCATCTCTTCTTCTCCGACTCGAATACGAAGAAACTCTGTGATTCGCGATCGCTCGCGACTTTTCCCATTTCATTCCGTCTTCGTCTCGCGCTCATTTCGCACGAAAATGCGGTCTGCCTTAGCGCCATTCAGAAGATTTCTACCCTCTCCGACGGGTCCATAAATTCGAACTCAGGGAACCCGCCTCCGATCAATTGCGGAAGAATTGCATTCGCTTTTGCCACCGCGAATATTTATCTACGGTCGTCCGCAGGGTTCCACGCTCTCGCTCCCCGTGTCCTATGCCGTTGCGGCTCCGAGGCTTCAGACGCAAGCAGAAGAATTTATATGGAAAAACGTTCATCCATCAGGAGGAGCAGGAACTGTGGAAAAGCCTCCCCCATTCCGTCGCGCTATTCCTCCGAACCCGGACGCTCCCAAGTCCACCCGACGTTTTTCCGTGGGTTATTTCCCGCAGCCCCTTCGACCTGTTGATGGGGAGCCTTGTAGAGAGCCTTGTCGAGCGATAGAAAAATCCCCTCGATTGAGCTCCCGCGCAGTCAATCGTTCCGGGGTTGACGAAAACGACGACCTACAACTCCATCCGAGTGCCATACACGTCAAGGTTTCGGCGGCACGTCTCAAACTGACCAATCGATCACGTTCCGAGCCGTTCCGCAATTTCACATCAACGCGCCAGAACCCGTCGACCGAGTGAATGGAGCGAGCTCGTACGGGAACACGCGATCGGACGGCATGCCAAACAAACCAGATTCTCTAATTGTATGCTCTGGCATCGAGAGGTCAACTCATCAGAGAGATTTGCTCACCGGCCGGGCGCAATGGAGTGGGAGTTCGGACCTCGCCAGTGCAAATGGACTCATTTAATTACATCGCTGTTCTCCTGACTATTACGTTGAACATTCTCCTGGCTCTCCCCTCTGGCGCAGTCACCGTTGTCGTTCTCCAGCACTGTCGCCGCGCGAAATTGCTCTTCAAGAACTTCCATGTAAGGAGGGTCAAGTGCGGAGCTCCGTAACAAGAGCGTCTATCTCCAGCGTAATAGTCATTAATGGCGTAGGGGCTCCGGAGAATCTCTGGAATCTTGAGTGATGTCCCCCAAAATGTCCGGGAGTCCTGCAGTAATGCACTGTTCACATCGAGATGCTCCGTCGAACGAACTGTCCCGTCTCCCCGCCTGAATTCTGTTATTTGCCGTGAAGCGTCTTTTTGTTCCCACTAACCCGCAATTTTCGAGGGAGAGCATGGTACGCATTTCAAGTTCCGGAGCTTCCCTGGACGGTTCAGAGGGTCGTCAACTGAAAAATAACGATTGAAATCTTCTCTAACTTTTTCAGGAGAAAATCGAATATATCTTTCTGGTAATTTTCACGGCAGAATGTTTCATGAAAATAATTGCGTATGGATTTGTGATGCATCCGGGAGCGTATCTACGAAACTCGTGGAATTTTCTCGATTTTGTAATTGTCGTTATCGGCCTCCTATCAACGGCTCTGTCAACATTCATGAAGGAGGGGTTCGACGTCAAAGCGCTCCGCGCGTTCAGGGTGCTCCGGCCCCTGCGACTTGTATCTGGTGTGCCCAGTTTGCAAGTTGTGTTGAATTCCATTCTGAAGGCCATGGTGCCTCTGTTCCACATCGCACTGCTCGTCGTATTCGTCATCATCATCTATGCCATCATAGGTCTCGAACTGTTCTCTGGTGAGTCTCCGACGATCTACTTCCAGACCAAATATATACCCACGAGCTCAAGTCGATCCTCCACTCTGATTCATGCTGTGCTCTCGAACGTCGGTAGCGTTCTGTCTCGCGATAACTCGATTCTCTGCAAAGCCGTCGAATAAGTGGAGCGATCGCTGCGACCAGCTGCTCCCGCAGACCCTGATGCGAGCTTTATCGATTGCAGGCAAGCTCCACATGCGCTGTTTGCACGACAGCACACAGGAACCAGAACTACCGGAGAACCCTTGCGCGGAGCCTGGGCATTCAGGTTACCAGTGTCCTCCAAATTACACTTGCCATGACGGCTGGGAGGGACCTAATTTTGGCATCACGAATTTCGACAATATCGGTCTGGCCATGCTCACCGTATTTATATGCGTCACCAACGAAGGCTGGACTGGAGTAAGTAAGACCGGACGGTCGGTCGGTCGTTCATAAATCCCTCCCGTCGGGGGCGCGATGTCTCAACAAGAGAGCTTCCAGTCGCCTTCGTTAGATGATGAGATTCCACTCATTTTCCGCTATCGCCGCGATCCATCCGAACTCTCAGAGATTCGATGTTCGGCTACAGATCTTGAGTGTTCTTCAAAAATAATAAGCTCGAATCCCGGAGGCCTTCTGTTGCTGAACGACTCGGGTACTCGACGTCGGGAACATCGGAAAGGAAAAGTTCAAAAGTTGTTCCCTCAGGCATTCCCACAAGACTTCGAAGGGCCGCCGTCGCTCCTCTGTCGGCGGATCCTCCATCATTTCTCCATTCGTGTTCTCATATAATTCTCGTTCCCACATCCTATTTGCACTCTTCGAGACTCCGGGATAGCTTGAATGATCCGGCCGTACAGAGTAACACGTACGAAGTCCGCGGCTTCACCTTTTCCGATGTCTCCTGCAAAATATTGAATTCGTTCTCCCGGAGCATTAGCTCCCGTCTCTCTCGGCGAGGCTGAAGGAGAGTCTTGGATTCTTGAAAATAGGGTGCTCGTTCATGGATGGAAGCGCTCGTTTTCCGCAGACGATCCGATCGCCCATTCTCAGATGCGTGGGATCAGAAATTAGTGCCGCCTGAAAGGAGTCTCGAGCGAACGAAAACGAATAATTTGACGCCGACGACCCTGTGATTCTGAGCGAGCGTTCCATGTAGTCAAGGAGACAGGGCTGGAATCGTCGGTCGTAAATTGTGATAGCAGAACGGAGACAGCGGAGAGAGACGAGGAGTCGAACGAAGGGTCGGTCTCTAGGTCCTTCGTTTGGACGGACTCGCGCACAACGAAGTGGATAAGGAGTGGATCAGGGTAAAAATAGGACTTTCCATCGCGGCCAGAAGGCCCGGGTATCAGGTGGATTGCTCGAGAGAACCACTCCTTAAAACCCACAATTTTCGAGCCTCCGTCCTTCAGCTCTCGCCATGCGACGGGTTCCTGCTCTCGCTGTCATTCTCAATATGCTCTCCGTACAGTCTGTTTTCTCCTCCTCAACGCTCATCTGTCGTCCGCGGGGTTCGTTCTCGTCCCATGAGCTCAGAGTTCTGTGGGAGGAACGAGTTCCGACCGGATGTGAATAAGAAACTTAAATAATTCGTTATGCCTCGTGCCCGCGTGCTCAATATTTCGCCGCGGGCTCCTCCCTTCCTCCCGAGTGTCGACTCGGATGATTTCGACAATTCGATCGGGAGTCTTACTCATTCGGGTCTATTTTCCGTCAATTCCGGGGGAGCTCCCGGAAAGGGACAGGCGGCGTTCACCTTTCACGGCCGGACGTACCGACGGAAGAAGAGGCTGTGAGATGACAGATTTCTTCGTCATTGACCATCCGAAACCTCTCGGATCAGAATTACACCGAGGAAGGATCGAAGTAATCACTCTCATATTACAGGTGCTGTACAACATGAACGACGCGGTAGGAAATGAATGGCCGTGGATATATTTTGTATCATTGATTATCCTCGGCTCGTTCTTCGTATTGAATCTCGTACTCGGAGTGTTGTCTGGAGAATTCTCCAAAGAGAGAGAAAAAGCCAAGGCTCGCGGTGATTTTCATAAGCTACGAGAAAAGCAACAAATTGAAGAGGACCTTCGAGGATACCTCGATTGGATCACGCAGGCCGAAGATGCCGAGGACAAGGTGAGCTCAGTTTCTTCATCGAGAGTCTTCCCTAGATCTAGCAACTTCATGCTATCTCGCGCATGTCGGAGGAAGACTCCGGAGGTCGAGTTCTGTTCGAGCCTCGAGTTCCCAGTACGTAGCGCTCCCCCATCGTTTCTCCTAACGGGAAGCGGAACAGGCATCCTCTACAATCTTCTGGGAATAGCTCCCAATCGCGCATCTCCTAGATGAGGAGCGGGTCCATTGACGGGAGACGGGGCTCGCTGCGGAGAAATCAAGCGGCGGAGGCTAATATGGCGCAGCAGATCTTGATTCCTCGACGAGCCGGGGAGCGGCGGCGCCACCACAATGCTGTGAACATGATAAATGACCGCAACGTATTGAGCTGTCGAACTCAAGTAGTAGTTGTTCGCTCGATTGGGCGAACGACCGAGCAGACAGATGAATGAATTCCGTTCCTGCTCGAACACAATTGAGCCAATTAAAATATCTGGATCAAAACTCTAGGGTCTTTATGTTCCGCACGGTATGGGATCGACTCAAAAGCGATTTGATCGATATCAATCTCCGGCAAAAATAACGATAGGAGATCTAGGAGGCGTCTCTTCTGGAGGCCAGTATTTCTCAGCGATTCCGGCCGCTGATCTCGGTGGTGGAACACCTCGACTGAGCCTATGGCCTATTATTGAATCTTGATTTTTCCGACAGGACGAACTGGAAGACGAAAATGCGGTACTGTCCGTTCTGGAGGAAGGCGAACAGGATTTGAATGGCAGCGGGGATTTGAGCGATCAACAACCCACGTGGTGGACCTCCAAGGTCAGGGAGTTCTCACGCATCAATCGGAGATTCCGTCGGGCCTGTCGAAAAGGTGTCAAATCGCAAGCCTTCTATTGGATCGTTATCATTCTCGTATTTCTCAATACGGTGAGTTTACTCTGACATCTAAAACCCAAACGATTCGAATCCGAAACCGCCGCAGCTGCCAGCGCATTTGTTCCTGCTTTGAGTCGCAGGCCTATCCGCACACAGTTGCGAGTGTCATTTCCCCGGGCGATGGATTTTCGAGTCTTCATTCGGAGCTTCTAAATGTTTTCGTAGAGAATCAGGTCTGGCTGCTGCGAGACACCCACGTGCTGTTCGTTCAGCCGCGATAATTCTCAAGCCGAGCTCGCTCGCACCAGAGAGGAATAGCTGTTTTCGCGACTCGAAGCGCAAACGTCAAGATATTTTTCATTACGCTCCGCTGCCAGGATTAGCTCTGAGCCAAATCGCTTTGAAGGATTTGAACACTCGAGACCTCCCGTTCGGCCTAAGGAGCTTTCGGGCGCTGCTCCGCAAACGAGCGCTCGGGGAACAGTGGCGGAGCGACGAGAAAATCACCGACGATGGCACTCTACTCAAGCCGAAAATTCTTCCAGGTGACCTTGGCGAGTGAACACCATAATCAGCCTCCATGGCTGGACGAATTCCAGGACTATGCCAACATGTTTTTCGTTGTCCTGTTCACAATCGAAATGCTCATCAAGTTATACTCGCTGGGATTTCAGGTGGGTCGCCGACCGACGAAAACCCTTTGAGCAGAATATTCCGACAGGGCTCCCGAAAAAGAGCCGATGTGATGGCCTGGAGTCACGGCTTGGGAAAGGACTGGGGTTCAGATGGAGAATGGTTCGATAATAGGTTTCATTGTTTCTTTCCTTCAGGGTTATTTCGTCTCGTTGTTCAACCGTTTCGACTGTTTCGTCGTGATCTCGTCGATCTTGGAGACCGTGTTCACCTACTCGCATCTAATGCCACCACTCGGCGTTTCTGTGCTGAGATGCGTCCGACTACTCAGAATATTCAAGGTTACCAAGTGAGTTCGCAGACCGAGCACTTTCGCGAAATTCGTCCTGGACGTATTGAGGAACAATGAATACAGAATCATGGGGCCGCGGAAGATTTTCCCGAATGCCGCGGCAGAAAAAAATCCGAAAGTGTACGGAATCGGAGCGGCTTTCATCGGGGGATCAAAATTGAATTTCCGTCCTTCGTCGAAGCGAGGGAAAATAGCTCTTTGCTTTGCTTTGTCGCGTCTTAGGAAGAGCACCCCTCCGCTCATGGACAGTCGACTGGCGGAGTCAAGAAACGAATATATCGGAGAAAGTGACTGTGGTCCCGAACTCAAAGGAATCTCGGATCGAAGCGGTAGTGAATGCCTCGAGGCTAAGCTCCTGAGAGTTAATTCTCGTTGCGGGTCCTTGATATTTTTTCAGCTGGGGAAAACCACACTCAGCCGAGCTTCGAACACCACCTCCTTTGGCGAAGTAAATCGATCTCGACACTCCAGGGATGCGTGCCGTTTTATGTCGGATCGACTCTGGAGATGTGTCGCGGGATAGCGGTGATTTGCGGAGGCTGCTCCGGGACAGATCTTTTTGAGCTCAATGGAGCCTGGCATAAAGATGTTCTCGCGTCGAAAGTGGAAGAGTGACGAAATCAAAGGCCTGAAGTCGGGGACAGCCGCCTCGACGCGATCGTCGGATGCTTCGCGCATCATCCCGATCGCGGAAATTGCCGGCATGCTGATGAATTGCGATTTTTGGGGATCCTGTCGAGAAGACGGTGATCAAGTGGACTCCTTTCTTATTTCACTCCTTGCTCTGTCGCTCCCGGTCGAGCTAGAAATCTCACCAGTTCGAAGCAGCGTCCGAGGGAGGCCGCTAGAACCCCCGCTGGTCCCCCGACAGAGCAAATGCGGATTAATATATGGGAAAAGTCCTCACGAGAGTGTATTTGCGCCGGCGAGGGTAATTTTCGGAGGGAAATCGCCTTCCGGAGCATCGATACAGTGGGTACAGTGATGGATGGCGCCTCTCCGGAACGTCTAAGGGTTCTCTGGAGGCGTGTCTCTCGAAAATACGTTTGCCGCCGTAGTTGAACAATTTAAGGTTGAAATATGTAATTGTTTTCTGTCTCCTTCACGATCGAGCCTGGACTCCTGGGCTCCACGTTCTAGGGGCGCCCAGCTCCTAAGCGGGACCGGGACCCGAACAATATCCTCGCATAACTAGGCTCTGGATATATTGTCGATGTCACCACGACCTGCGAAGCCCGCCCAGTCTGTCGCTGACGCGTCGTCGCGGCAAGTTCCAACGATGACCCGCGGCTGATGGACAGCGTATTTGCATTTCAGATACTGGGCCTCTCTGCGGAATCTGGTGGCATCTCTGATCAACTCGATGAGGTCCATCATTTCCCTCCTGTTGCTGCTCTTTCTGTTCATCATGATTTTCGCCCTCCTCGGAATGCAAGTGTTCGGCGGAAAATTCAATTTCAACGATAACCAAGACAAGCCCCGACAAAATTTCGACAGTTTCTGGCAGGCCCTGCTGACCGTCTTTCAGGTATGTCACTCAGACGAAACAGCGATTCCCCGGGGCCGCCTGAATTCCCCATTCAGGTTTGCGCAATGTTCCATTCTTCTGTTGCTGACTTGCACAGGTCAGGGAGCTGGCTTCGGCAAGACTGTTCGGAATATTCTCCTTATCGTTCGGTTCATTATCAACGGACACTCTCCATAATTGCTGCAGAGCTTATGGGCGCGGATGATGCTCTAACGATAACACCTCGCAGTGGGGGCCGGCTTCATTCTCTCCGCGGCCGGCTGGCTCGGTCGTGTTCTTGAGATCCCCTCGCTAGGAGACTCAGACTCTGGAAATGACCAGCGGAGCCAATCTGTTCAAGAAGTTCTTACGCGACGTGGTCTCGGCCTTGAGATGTTTGACCTCCTTCCACTCCGACACGGTCGAGAGAATCATTAGACATATGCACATATGCAGACAACCCCCGGAATCAACGATCTGACCGTGTGCCAGATCCTGTTAGTCGTTTTTATCAATGTTCTCTGCTCTGCTGGTTCGAGTCAGAGGACGACATTCAAACTTTATGCGAAGGCCAGGGATTTCATTCTACGAGTAATTGAGGTCGAGAAGGAACAAGAGCCTATCTGACATCGGTGTGGAGAATCATCAATCGTATCCGTTGCCTTCCTCTCCTCGCCCATTAAATCAAATTATTTTTATGTTTATTAAACCTCCATCGATTCGATTCCCGGAATGATGACACCCTTATTTTTTCGCAGATTCTAACAGGTGAAGACTGGAATGTAGTCATGTACGATGGCATCCTCGCATTTGGTGGGGTTGGCTCATTCGGAGCTGTGGCGTGTATATATTTCATCATCCTTTTCATCTGCGGTAAGTTTTCCACCTTACGAGAGAGACTCGTGGTCTTCTGTCACTGGGCGCTTCGGCTGACCTTTCCTTGGCCGCCTTCGTCTTCTTATCCCCCCTGCCCGAGCACTTCCTCGTTCAATATGCACCTATATGCACCCTCGACCAGCTGTACGCAGGTGGCAATATGTAGAGAGATATGGGCACAGCTGACTGCGTACAGCTCCAACTAGGTACGTATGCGAGCAGGTTGCGATTCCGGGGTCTTCGCTAATAGTTCGGGGAAGTTCGTTCGCTCATTCGTGCGAATATTCGATTCGCACCGCACTCGCCACCTCGAAGAATGTCCCTGAACGTGAGCCGATGGCTCATTGAGCGGACCTTCAAGATTACTCCGATTGATGTTCGACCGTTCAATATTGTCCTCATTACTGGTCGCGAGCTTCGTTGCACAACACGAATCGACGCCGTCCTCATTTGTGTTCGGCCCAATAGCTCCCCCCGTACGTCGACGGGAATCCACCCGAACGGCTCAGACACTCTCGTTAAAGACGGAGCTCGGAATCCTTCCGAAGAACGAATCGAATGTCTCGGCTGCGACCTCGCTGGATGGTTCTCGGATCGACAGTTCGCTCGTTAGACCAAAGTTCTCGATTCGAGAAAATCCGAGAAAATGAAAGTCGTCTGCCTGGATAATTGAGGGAATTCGAGAATATTCTTGAAAGCTCAAAACCGACAAAGAGTTCGCTCGCTCGCAGCAAAAGAGAGAGTTGACGACGGAAACCTAAAAGAAGTATTCTCCGTCGAGATTACTTTTTGCCGAGATCGTTCAAGTCGGATCAGTGAACAAATAAAAAATCCCTTCTTTGGGAACTTTCTATTACCGTGCGTCACGTGAAGCTTAGCGAATAGGTCGCCGGGGGCCGGGAGCGTAACGACTCCGCATGGGAACAGCATTACGTCATGGCGCCACTCAGCAGCGTTCCCCATTAGATCATGTAATGCTACCGACCGCCCCCCGCGCCGTCTCTGGGTCGACCGGGTGAGAGTATTCGTAATGGATATAATCCATGGCTCGGTTCAACTCTTTTCAAGGAAGAAATATTGAAAGAAGAAAACAAAAGCATACGCTGGGCCTTGGCCAGGAATGGTGCGGTGTCCACATTGTCCCGAATAAAAGTCTCGAAAGTAAGAGCAAGAGATGGCCACATCGGAGGGCAAGCACTCCCGAGTTCCCAGCCGCGTGCATTGATGGAGGGTCTTGATTGAGTTTAACGCTCAGCTATTCGAGCGCACGCTGAATATCAGTGGGAAGTAAATATCAACGCTCCACCATCGGCTATCGCCGAGGGTCCAAGCGAGCTCCCGCCCGGACGCAACGCTGCCGAAAAGAAAACTACTGTGAGGAATTCCCGAGCCTCTCAATTTGTCTCCATTCAGACTAACGGCGTCGGAGAGTGCGGAGTTGCTTGAACGACTGCGGATAGGTTCTCCGGGAGGGAAATTCGGAAAGTCAGCGATTTCTCCGATTCGTGTCTCCTTGCTCTTCAGCCTCGTGGATAGTGGATAGACTCCCCGCGAGAAACGTGTGGAGTCGGTCAGAGTCGCGATTCCCTTGTCCCCCCTCCCCCGCATTCTCTATCAAAACATTGGAGCTGCCTGACTCAACACCGAGATCGCGAGGAATTCCGCTGCTTGCGGCTTCTGCCCTGGGTTCTTCCCTCCGCACGTCCGTCTCCCTCCGCCGCATCGTGGGTTGATCTGGCGGTCCGCTGCGGCACGCCATGTTAATGAGGTCGACCGTTCGGATCCGGGTAGACGGGAGAGACTCACACGCGCGTGCGATCTCGTCCGACACACGTGGCGTCGTCCGGATCCACATTACGGGCTCTTGGAAGCCATGAGTCAGTCATCTGACTGAGGCAAGAGTGGCTCAAAGAGAATTCCGAGGCCTAATTAGAGGGCAAGGGAATTCGCTCCCAGTTTCGGGTTCAGAGCGACCCAGTGAGCCATCGGCAGTGCTGTGCGACGTGTCCAGGACGCGGCGCGCGGCGCCATAGACTCACTCGGTGCTTAAGCGCCATGGCGCGCCGCGGCGCTTCAGCATTGAGTCTATGGGACTTGTGATTCTCGGCGCGGCGCACAGCTTTGCCCATCGGTCGCCTCACAGAGCTCTTGTGGCTCGACTCGATTCCTCTTTGTCTGTTTTTCGAGGCTCTCAGCTGTCAGCCCACTCTGCTCACCGAGATTCACCGCAGCCCCGCTTGCGGTCTCGCCGACCGACGTCGGACGAAGCCGGAGAGTGATCGGAAGTCTCTTGGAATCCACCCCTTCGTTTGTCGACGGCTACAAGGGGGCGGGGAAGAGCGACGGGCTTGGCGGAAATGTACGAAAGGCGTCGTCCCACGCCGAAGACGCACATCCAGACCGGCGAGAGGGAGCTCCACGTGCCACATATGGAAGCTGTCCGGAAGACGACGCAAAAGTCCGCACTCTGGCGTCTAGGTAAAAGGTCAAGAAGCCCTCCGTATGTTCTAGTTTCGTGTGTGTACGCTGTGAATCCTTGATGCGCTGACGAGCCCGCTCATGAGGGCCCCGATAGTTCGGATTCTCGGTCTCGCGCGGGTCCATATTGGAGGCCTCGGATATGAGAGAAAAGCGCTTATGAATGACATTGTCCGTCCTCGGGGAAGCCTTTTAGCAACGGGCTTTCTCATGGTGGCCGAACTGAGTTCGCTAGTATTTTGCGGAAAATTGCTCATCGGGGTCCGCATCCGGACTCGCAGTCACGAGGCTCACGAGCATTAGAGGTCTAGGACTCACGGCATGCGACGCACTCATGTCTTCCAGCAATCCCTTCCGGAGTATACATGGTTTTCAGCAAGTCGATTCTCTCGACCAATGGTGATGAATCTCTAATGATGTGGCATCGCGAAGGGATTTTGCATTTTAAATCCTTGATACCGAAATCTCCCGACCGGGAGGAAGTTGGATCGACCTTTCTTACTTGGTGATGAGTTCTGCTCAACATGCGATGGCTCCCCTGGAACATTGTTCCCCCGGAGCGGCCACGAAAACGATTACTCGCTCGAGATGCTGTGATGACGATCTTCATCATTTAGTCTGGATGGGATTTTTCGCTCGAGCTCACTGCTTTCAAATCGAACTCCAGGTAATTATATTCTTCTCAACGTTTTCTTGGCCATTGCCGTGGACAATCTGGCAGATGCCGAGTCTCTTACGACCATCGAAAAGGAGGAAGAAGAAGAAGATGATGGAGCTCAGGACAACCCTGACAACCTCAATTCCTCGATGAGGTAAGTTCTTCTTTGCGCTATGTCAGTTCGATCGGGAATCCAAATTGTTGAGAGATCGAACCTCCCGGAACGAAGCCGCCTCACGCAACCTAGATAGAGAATTAGCTCACCGGAAGATACGCCGCGTGCGCGCGTCGTTGACAATTACCGCGGGAGTCGACGCTCCTCGGCGCGACCCACGTGTCGGAAGTGACGAGGTCGTCCGAGCGCTCCGCTCCTCCAAAGCACTCATACATGTGGAAGGAATCGATTCCCGTCACGATGAGCGTCGATATTTCGAGGAATCGATGGCGAGCTTCACTTCGGCTTTTCCGCGTCCACACGTTCTGGAATCGTGGAATCTCTGCTTTGAGCCGCGGACGACTCCATCCACTCATCTCCACGAGGAAACGAAGCTCCCAGTTGAGTTACTCGCAAGCAGGAGGGCAGAGAGGATTTTTCCCGAAGAAACCGAGGCGTAGCTCGGATTTGTGAAGCGGTGCCTCTTCGGGCTTTTCGGAGCGAGCCTCCATCGGCTCCGTCGGGCTCTCAGGGGGAAAAACAAACAAGCAAGCAGGCACATCGAGGAAGGCGACATCCACTGCTCAATAATTCATTTGTGCCCCTACCCCTCGCCATTCCCCACCTTTTCCCGTTCTCTCAATAAAATATCCAGTAGTATATGTTCCTACCGACGACTACACGGCTGTCGTTGAGGCTCCGGGGCAAGGTGTCCGCTTTCGCTGTCAATGTCTTTATCGTTGTTAATGTCATAAGACAGCCTATCTTCCGTCGCAAACGGAAGTCGGTGTCGTAGAGGAAGAATTGTATTCATCTTCGGGCCCGCCACAGAGGGTCATGAAAGTCGACCCCGGCGATGAACATGTCCGATCGCCGTCGCGGTGGTCGCTTGTTTTACTTCGACCAGATCGAATGGGCTGTCTTTGAGAGGGAATCTCGCTCGTAAAAAAACTACAAGTGAAGACGATGACAGGACAGCTTTTAATCAGGTCGAGAGAGCCGACCATCGGAGGGGCTTATTGCTCGCTCATGAAAGCATGTACCCTGTTGTACGAGCACCTGTCACCAATAACGGAGGTACACCGGTGACAGTCCCGGAGCGACAAATCGGCCAATCTGAAATGTTTGTTGCTTACCCCAATGATCTATGTAATGTGATTGTTATCGATTCTTCTTGCAGAGGATCTCCGTCTGGAGACGCTACAGGCAAAAAAGTTCGAATTCAGGAAGACGCCGGTGCGGATGTTGTTGAAGATGATAAATCTAAAGCAGGTAGGTGACCTTCGGATTCGATGTTCATTCGCTGTACCTCTCTGTCCTCTCCCTTTCTTCTTCCGCTGGGACTAGCGGAGTACGGCAGATTTTTTCCGATCTGACGACATCGTATCGGATATCAAGGCTCAGAAGCTCGACTAGACCAAAAGACACAATATGCCTGATCGAAAAAGTCTAAGAGATGGAATATAGGACGGGGACCGTTCTGCATCTGGATGATCCAAGTTCTGGACTCATCGGAGGGGTGCTTCCAGCGAGCTGAATAGTATAGGCATTTTCGAATGCATCGACGGTCGGCCCGATGCGATTGAAACGTCGCCGAGCTGTTCTCGCACTAAGAGGAAAGTTTCGGTGGCTCGCTCCAAGCAGTTTATCTATAATTAGCATTCATTTGTTTCCGCGACAGCAGACGAAGAATGTTCGGACGTCGAGGAGGAGGTTGAGGAGGACGAAGGAGAAGACGACGTGGGGATGGATGGAGAAGAAGACGAGGTCGCCGAAGATGAAGAGGATCCGGAGGGGGCCGAAGCAGACGGCTTAGGGGCAAGACCCCGGCGCATGTCGGAACTTCAGCCCTCGAGCAAAGTGAGCATCCGAGTAATCTCCCCGACTCGACCCGACGCGCAGTTAATGCGCCGTGATACGCTCGAATTTTTCTTTTTGAGGTTCCGACTGACGGTTTCTATCATCGCACGCTTGCAGGTTATACCGATACCGAAGGCGTCCTCGTTCTTCATCTTTTCGCACACGAACCCGTTCCGCGTTTTCTGCCACACAGTCATCAACCATTCGTACTTCTCCAACTTCATTCTGGTCTGCATTCTCGTCTCGAGCGCAATGTTAGCCGCAGAGGATCCACTGCGCTCAAACTCGTTCAGGAATCAGGTTCTCAATTACTTCGACTACTTCTTCACCAGTGTTTTCACTATCGAGATTACACTTAAAGTGAGTATCGCACCAGAAGGCGCCAAATCCCCCTTTTCTCTTCATTGAACAGTTTCATTGGGGTCCGACTTGAATACCATGGGGGAGTGACGACATCGGGGGAAGTCCACTATTCCTAGGGCAGTTCGGCGAGGCTCCCCGTCGACGATCGGAGCCCACTCGACGCTCGATCGGACGTTTCAGAAGAGGACAATAGCACGATTGTGCGCCATCCTTTTATCCGATCCCTTAAGCGGGGCATAAACATCGAGAAGGAAAAATATGGGACGTCGCATGAAGTGGATGATGGTGGGGGAAAACTCGAGACATCGCAGCGCGAACACTGAATGCAGCGGATATCGATGGAGGAATTCCGTGCCAACAGCGAGAAGTGGGAAGTATACGACGACGCTCTCCGACGTCGTCTGTCGAGATAAAGATCCATGAATTGATGCGAAGAATATCCCCAACGGATATCGTCTCATCCGGAGCAGCAGCTCATGGCGGCAATGTCGCACAGAATCCCGGCTATCGAATCGGAACTGCGTCAAGCTAAACCCGCGACGGGACTGCCGCGACGTAGGCGCTGAACGAAGCGGGAAACGTCCTCCTGCCGTCCTTCCGTAGCGATGCACGCGTCCTTTGCTTGCTGAAAACTCGGTCGGATCTATCAGCGGAGAGTTTTCGCCGCTTCTCATCAAATGCTCTAGACTCTGAGAGAATTCTCGTATCGATTCCAGGTGATCACCTATGGAGTGATTCTGCATAAGGGTTCGTTCTGTCGCTCCTATTTCAATATACTCGACGTACTGGTTGTGTGCGTCTCACTCGTGTCTTTCGGCTTCGGTGACGGTGCGAAAATTTCCGTTGTGAAAATTCTTCGAGTATGCCGTGTTTTACGTCCGCTACGCGCTATCAACCGCGCTAAAGGACTCAAACACGTGGTTCAGTGTGTTATTGTGGCCATCAAAACCATCGGTGAGTCGCTGAATTAAGCCCGCTCAGATCGAAGGCTATCGTCCAAGAGCTGTCAGAATTCGGACCGATCGAGGGTTCGAATCACGTGAACGTGATCACCCGCATTTTTCTGATCCTGTCTTTTTCCTCTTTCTTCCCTCCGGTGCTGTCTTCGATCCTGCCCGTCGTTTTCTCGGGGCCGCTGTCTTCCCATTCGACGTCTGAAGGCAATATTATGCTGGTGACATTTCTATTGAACTTCATGTTCGCCGTCATCGGAGTCCAACTATTCAAAGGCAAATTCTTCTCCTGCAACGACAGGTCCAAGATGACCGAGGCCGAGTGCCGTGGGAAGTTTATAACGTACCCCGATGGCAACATCTATAAACCGTCAGAAGAAATCCGTCAGTGGGGCCGGAACAAATTCCATTTCGACGACGTTCCGAAGGCGATGTTAACGCTGTTCACAGTGTCGACATTTGAGGGTTGGCCAGACTTACTCTACGTGGCCATCGACTCAAACGCCGAGGACGTCGGGCCCCGCATGAACTATCGGCCGATCGTGGCCGTGTTCTTCATCGTGTACATAATCATCATCGCCTTCTTCATGGTGAACATATTCGTAGGTTTTGTCATCGTCACGTTCCAGAACGAAGGAGAACAGGAGTATAAGAATTGCGAACTGGACAAAAATCAGCGAAATTGTATTGAGTTCGCGCTAAAGGCCCGCCCCGTTCGCCGATATATTCCAAAGGCGAAGTTCCAGTACAAGATGTGGTGGTTTGTCACTTCTCAGTATTTCGAATACGCCCTGTTCGTGTTGATCATGACCAACACACTGACGTTGGCCATGAAATTCTACAATCAACCGGACGTCTACAGCCAAGTACTGGACACGCTAAACATCATATTCACTGCGGTGTTCGCACTGGAATTCGTCCTCAAGCTGATGGCTTTTCGATTCAAGAACTACTTTTCGGATGCGTGGAATGTGTTTGACTTCATCATTGTGCTCGGGAGTCTGATCGACATCGTGTACTCCGATCCGGGCAGCAACAAAAATCTCATTTCGATCAATTTTTTCCGGCTATTTCGCGTAATGCGCCTGGTGAAACTATTGTCCCGCGGTGAGGGCATACGGACGCTTCTTTGGACATTTATCAAGTCCTTTCAGGCTCTACCATACGTCGCACTGCTCATCGTGATGCTGTTCTTCATCTACGCAGTAATCGGCATGCAATTGTTCGGGAAGATCGGACTCAGTAACGACGACTCGGCAATCGACCGAAACAATAACTTCCAAACATTTCAACAAGCTGTGCTGGTTCTGTTCCGCTCGGCCACCGGCGAATCGTGGCAAGAGATCATGCTGTCGTGCGTCAACGACCACGGCGTCAAATGCGACGAACAGGCAGATGCCGACGACTCCAGCAGCTGTGGCAACGACATGGCGTTTATGTACTTTATCTCGTTCTACATTCTGTGCTCGTTTCTCATCATCAATCTATTTGTGGCTGTTATCATGGATAACTTCGACTACCTCACCCGAGATTGGTCGATCCTCGGTCCACATCATCTGGACGAATTCGTCCGATTGTGGTCCGAGTACGACCCAGACGCTAAAGGCCGCATCAAGCATTTGGATGTAGTCACGCTGTTGAGGAAGATCCAGCCTCCATTGGGATTCGGTAAACTTTGCCCTCACCGAGTTGCCTGTAAGAAACTGGTATCAATGAACATGCCGCTCAACTCAGATGGCACGGTTATGTTCAACGCGACGCTGTTCGCTGTGGTTCGGACCTCGCTCAAGATCAAAACCGACGGCAACCTCGACCAGGCCAACGAAGAGCTCCGAGCCATCATCCGAAAAATCTGGAAGCGAACGTCGCCCAAACTTCTCGACCAGGTGGTGCCACCGGCCACCGATGACGACGTGACCGTCGGCAAGTTCTACGCCACTTTCCTTATACAGGACTACTTCCGTCGCTTCAAGAAGAAGAAAGAAGACCGCATTGGCGCTGACGCTCAAGAAACAACTGTCGCATTACAAGCTGGCTTACGAGAGCTTCATGACATGGGACCAGAAATAAGAAGAGCCGTGTCTGGGAACCTCGACCAGGTGGGCAGTCTTCGTCGTCTCCCTCTTCTGCACTCAGAAATTATTCCTCTTGCTCTCCATAAATTTACTCACTCAGATAAGCTCAGATTCGAGACAATGCCATACCTTCATCGAGCTGCTTTCTCGCAGGACTTTGCCGACGACCAACCCATGCACCGGCGCAACCACTCACTCTTCGGAAGCGTGTGGTCATCGTTCAGGCACAGGACAACGGGGGCCAAGTCACCTCGACAACTCGGCAACAACGGGGTCATGTTGCGAAGAGTGTCCCCGGGACATTCGCGCTCCCTCGATGTAGCCGAGAGAGGTTCGGCGATCCCCCTGCAAGTGAAATTGCAGCCGTCGGACAGTCCACCGTGAGTGTTTTTTTCCTTCTCCCGTCACTTCTCCAACGCACTACCATTATCCATTGTATCATCAATCATCCTTTTCATCCATTTCTCTGACCGTGCTCTGATTGTTTGATTCGGTTCTCCATTCCTGTAACTATTCTCGCTCGCTGTCTACATCGTTCCACTGAAATCCCTCTCGGAAAATTTCCCTGGGGGAGAATCCGTTCGAGGGAGAAAAAATGTTCAAAATTCTGAGTGTTGTATCGATGTCGCTCTCTTTTCAACGAGTGTCGCCTATCCGAAGTTTCTTCTCCGACTGTTTTCGATTGCCGCAGCCCCCGGGGCTCCGCCAAGTTTTATCGGCAAGGACAAGGAGTAAAACCTTTTTTTTTCGTTACCTCCACATCGCGTTTAGAGCGCGACAACTGAAGATACTTAGGTAGTTGGCTAGTCACGGCAATGATCCGGAATCGATATAGTATTCATAATGAGCCGTACGTAAATACGTAGGATTGCTGCTGCCGAAACGCGTGGCGATTATGCAGGACAAAAACTAACAGTGGCCGTCCATACTTTTTTCCTCCCTCCCTCTCGCATACTGCTACCACTTCTACTACTTCTACTTGTTGTCCAACCTCCAACCTAACTCTCTGTCCACCGCTCCCTCGATCGTGGCGAAATGTTGCGCACAAATCAGCTACTCGTCGGAACTCGAAGAACTAGGGCTCACTGTAGACACAGAATTCCTCCCACAACGACGATTGTCGTTCTCGCAAAGATTGCTCTCGTCGCTTTCGTTGGGAGGTGGTACGAGAGCTAGCTCAGGAGGTTCCCAGGAGGTGCTAACTTCACCTCAGCGGCTGAGTCGAGAAAAATCCCTGGCAGAGCCAGCCCCCGGGCGTATTCTCTACACTGCATCGAGCACCACTCCTTCTAGCGGCGATGGCTCTGCCGAAGCTGCTCCCTGCTCGCCAAAGTCAACACATTCCACATCGCGACACCCACAACAATTTGAAGCTACAACGATACACCAACAGGCAACTGGTGCATCGATACGATTGCCTCAATACCTTCTACATCGCGCATCCTACGACGCCGACGCAGGAAATGACCGATTAGTGACTAACCGACAACCACCAGAAACTGAGACCAACACTGTTCAGATTTTGCACTCGTTGGCTCACTCCGCTTCAAGGTGATTTAGAAGTCGGTGCCCCGTCTCATCTCCTCTTCCGTACACCTCTCTGTTTCTCTAGCTGTCCGTCCGTCTGTGTATTTGTCCATCCGTCCGTCCACCCGCCAGTCCGTCCGTCCAGCCGGCCGACCATCTATTTGTCTGTGTTTCTGTCTATCTGTCTGTCTGTCTGCTCGTGTGTCTGATCACCTAACTATCCGAAGTCTGTCTGTCTGTCTGTCTGTTTGACCGTTTACCTCTTTGTCGATGCGCTGATGACTTTTCTTGCTGGATACGTTGGCGTTCGCTTACATATTCTCTTGAGCCATGGTCGTTTCCCTCTGTCTTCCCGTCGCAGCGATCCTCAATCTGATTATGCCACCAGTTGATTACGATCCATGAACAAGTCCAGCCCATCTCTTCGTATTTCTGTCTGTGTTTCTGTCGGCTCGACAGGGAGATATCCCACATTTGCTTGTTTGCGGAAGCGGACGTACGCAACTCATGCGGTTGATCATCTCATCGAGAAGTTGATCCGCCGACAGATCACAGACCTGGCATTCGCTCAGCCAATCGACTCACCGCTCCACTTCTGCTACGTAGCCTGTTCGGAAGCGAAGTCAGTCGATTCCTTATACCGTCTCGATCCGACTGCTGTGCCCGTTCTGCGCGCCAATTTTCAGTTGTATTTCTGAGTTTTAGAGCTAGGGGATCGCGTTTCAGGTTCACGAATACTCGTTATCCTAAGTCTGTCCCGTTGAAATCGCAACGCTCCATCGATCTGTATCTTTGGACGAGTTTTCGCAGAAGCCCTCCTCAGGAGTCTATGATTTAGGCGGCGTTGGTCCAAGATGGTCGCTGAACGGGTCGCCGTGACTTTAGAAATAATTTAGGGGACGGACCGAAATTCTCTCTCCCGAATCCTCCTGAACGTCACCGCAACAACTCACCCGCGTACTCCCTTTCATAGCGTGGTGACTTGACCATTAAAACTACGATCGGTAGTTTTAAAGTAGCGCTAGATGGATGTCATATCGTAGCATTGAATGCTGTTGACAGTTTCGAATCGTTTGATATCCAATACGTCTCCTCCAATAGGAAACGGTGTTGAGCATGGGACTCGGCGACTTACCTCGACTTACTCTATTGATGTCATCCGCTGATGAAGTCGTTTCTTCGAGACGAGGAGATGTCTCCCATCGATGTTGGCTAGCGATACCGTTGGCGTGCGCAAAGCGCAAGGCCGACCGTTCGTGTTAGCTAGTTCGTTCGCTAGTACGGAGCGCGTGGCATGCTTTGCGTAGAGTGCACGATCGATTTCCAGATCGAGAGAATCACTAACAGCGTGTGTCTTTCCTTCCAATTTCGCGCCGCACCGTGGTGGTTGTCGCCAACGTCGTCGTTTGTGTCGTCGACCGCCGAACAATTCTCCACGTCGACCGATCGAATCACACACGAAACACCAATCAGGACCGTGCATGGAACGACGACGGACGATGATACTGATGAAGACTGGAGGTCGGCTGCTACGAGTCGACGACGGTCGCCAACCCTCCCGATCATATACGCACCGCAGTCATATAGCTCATCTTCGAATGCTCACTTCACGTATGTTGCTCACTAACTTCGATACGGCTTCTGATGAGGCTTTTCCCCGGGCGGCCCTCTGGGGCTTTCCTCCGGATCGATCGATTGGACGCAGGCATACGTATCGCCCCAGGTCGTATGCGGTGGATCAATCGGTTTTCCTCTACCAGTCCGGCTAATGCTCGGATCGATCTGTGTGGTTTTCTAGATTCACCCCACTAACTTGAGCTTTTCTTTCACTGTTTCTCCTGATGCTTCCTATCTCACTTGCCCACTCACGCTCATCTCCTCACCGTCGCTATCGGCCGTCGACTCCCGACCACAGATCATCTCACGAGACAATTCAAAGTTCAAGCGAGCTCCTCACAGCTCGCCCAAAGATTCGGAGAAGGCGCAGCAGAGGGGGATCTTTTCGGTTGGGCTGTCTTTCAAAACAGGACTCTACGGACCAGGAGCAGCTTTCGGTCTCCGATTGTATGTTATACCGGAGCAGCTCCTCGAGTAGCCAATCCCATCTCACTACGGCATCCAACTCACCTCATTCAAGCTCAGTGCACAGGTACCAGCCGATTCCACTGACAACCCCGTCCCATTCCTCCTCCTTTCCCTACGTTGCCGAACCCAGACCCGACCGAGACCCACGAGACAGAGAGAGAGAGAGGGAGCCCTCAGAGTTCTCCATCGATATACACAGAGCTCCACCGAAAGCTGTTCCCTCGTTTTTATTATCCGCGTCCAGCCCGTGTCCCCGATATGTTCCTCGGAGCTACAACACCTTGTAGCAAGATGACGTAATTTGTGTGTAGGACACCTTTCCGAAGCTCCACCGTTAGCTCTTTCCGGTTCCTAGTGTCCTTCGTTCTCTGCAGCTGCTCGCAGTGCCGGAAGATCATAACACGGGGAGCGTGATTGTTCGTTTCAGAGTCGGAGATCCGCTCGGCACTGCACCTGCAGCAGCTCTTGCAGCAGCTGGTTTGACCAGCTTAGAACAGCTCGGAGCTGTCCTCCAGGAGCAAACGCGCAGGCTAGAACAACAACAGCAACAAGAACAACAACAACAACAGTATCCTCAACAACAAAACCTTGCTCCAAACAAGTTTCTTCCGGCACACCGAGCCTCGTATCACGGGCAAAGGTCTCATGCTCAGAACACGCTAGATCCGAACGCCGCGCACACCGGAGCTCACACGCTCGCTGGCAGCGCTGAGAACCTCGTGGGCAGAGTGCTGCATGAGCAGGTACGCACCACGGAACTCGTTCTACGACGAAAGCCGAGAATTTTCAGAAGCCAGAGCGAAATCGAGTAAAGTGAACCGGCTGTTCGACTTGTTGACAGAACTCTGCCATTTCGAGAAACTCTCCCCCTCCCTCGCTTTCTGACCCATTGACATTCATGATCCGCTCGCTTCCTCCCATAATAATCCGACTGACTGTGTAATCGATCCCCAACTTTGTCGTGTTTGAATATTTACGCTTCGATCATTCCGTCTGATCCCTCGTCTAGTGTGCAGCGCGAGTGCTCGGGCTCGCAGGGCCGAAATCGGACTCTCCGAGTTTCATCGCGGGGAAAATATTCTTGCGGAGGAACCGTTTCCTCATTTTTTTTTTCGGAAGAGGAATAAATGTTTGTACACTGCCGATGGAAAATTTCTCGGGGACGACAATCCTTGAGGAGTCTTAGGCATCGATCTCCACGGGCATCTGCCGGTGATCTTCGACGGTCAACTCTGACCTCGCTGCAGCGGGTCCTCCCATCCTGAGATTCCATCGCTCGCTCCTAAGCTCTTGTGTTTCTTGCAGGGCTTAGGCAAGTACTGCGATCCAGACTTCGTGCGAGCGACCCAACAGGAGCTCGCGGAAGCGTTCAACTTGACGCAAGAACAAATGGATCGTGCAGCCCATGAAATTCTTCAGGCCGAGTCCAGGCGTCGCTCAATGCCTTCCAGTCACTCCACCCAACTGTAGAAGCCCCCTCTACCCTTGTCGCCCTCGAACCTTCTCCGCCAGCTGAGAAGACTGCAGTCCTCCAGCGAAAACCCGCAAACCCAATCCTACCTCTTTCCTCTCACCGAAACCATCATCGCCACCACCTTAAACACCACACCCTCCTCGATGAATGCTCAGAGCCCCACCCACGACATTGACCCTTGACCCTTAACTCTCTCGAATCGACTCGTCACCCTAACCGCCTTCCCACCTAACTACCCTGACCCGCTCCGTCCCACTCCCAATCGATCCACCGATCATTCTATTGGACCATCCATACCGCATCGGTAACACCTATTCACATCATGCATTAATAAATCCATTCATCCATCCATCCATTCATCCTCGCACCAATCAACGAGCCGACCGTTCCAGCCATTCCGACAACCCCAATGCACCCGCTCCCGCGAAGCCCACCCCATTGAGCCAAAGCTTCCCCCGAACATTCCCGCAGCCTCCCTCGCACTGAGGGGAGCCTGCTTCTAGTCTGCGACGGCTTCTCGGCCACCTCAGCTCTGGCACTTCGTAACAGTCGTGTCCCCTGTCAATGGTGCTTTAGTGCAATGTTCTTCCGCCAGTGCCGCTGAAAAGAAGTGAACGACTGGTTTCTTCCTCTTTCTGACGACACTTCTTCTACTATTCCCTGCCAACGACCAGCGGATATTAGGTCGAATAATCGCGCTCACGGAAATCGTGCCTGGGACCGATGGTCCTAGCTTTGATGATCGAATCATCAAATGGAAGACGGAACCATTTTCGCAAGACTTGTTGTTGCTGGGGCGATCGCCGCACCTGGTGCACACAAGAAGGAAGGAACAAGACAAGAATATACGGACGATGAGGATCACCCTACGGAAACTGTGGAACATCGTTGTTGAGCGACCGCGCGCTCTCTCGGTCGGTCGGTCAGTCGATAGGACAGCCTGTCGACCGATGTCTCATTTGAGTCGGAGTGATCCGATACTGTGAATGAACCTGTCGAGCCATTTCACTAGAACAAATTGATGTGATGGGATTGTACTGTTAATGAGGATCATCCTGCCAAGACCGATCGAGCCCAAATGTGTGAACCCAATGCATGGCTGCCATTGGAACGGTGAGCTTTGTGAGGTCTCGTTTTACTGTTGTATACGTTGACATTGTTTGTGTACAATTCCAGCGAAGAATCGAAACAGCTCGTTTAACTTTCGACGCAAGCGTAGTCGACATACTTTTGGGTAGAGGGTACCGACATTAATCATCCCTCGCTGATTACAATGATCACGCTGGTAATGATAGAAAGGAACGAGATAAGATGACGAAGACAATGATCGGAAGAGATGATTTGAACCAAGAGGCACAAGAAGAACAGAACCTAGTCAAAGAGATGCTAAGCCCAAAAACGAATAATTAATCTAAATAGCTTTCGGAGCCGAAGTCTCATCGACTAAGCGATTACAAAACTCTGTCTACCGACGAACAGTCGGAGGGGGTGACGAAAGAATCACGGAGAGAATATAGGAACTTAGAATAAGGAACAAGGTTTTTCTCGCACCTCGAGAGAGATGAGCCTTGGCAGTGAATTCGAGACTTAGCCGAGGAAACAAAACATTTGAGCGCGACGAGAATTTTCGTGTGTATTCGCCTGCCTACCCCTGTTGCCAGCCAGCCAGTTTGATAAATGATGACATGTTCTGATCGACCATTTCGTATTACAAACGATTCCACAGAAGCATTCAACACTCCCGCAAAATAATCAACCTCACAAAACTACAGTGTCAAGAAGTCAGACGAATGTAATGACCTACAATCGAGACGTAAATTTCAAAAACACCCCCTATCATCGATCAGCTGGTGTTGTTTCCTAGACTTTCATAGTAGCCTGAGATCCTGAATCTGAAAACTGCCTGGTCTAGCCAATATCACGAATGCTGGATTACCAGAAACGTACCACGTAGTCCATGGATGCGGTACAACCCACAAAGACAAACCCATCAGTAGCAGTACCCACGTCAACGGTGATAATATCACTTCAAGTTCCGATACTTGAATGAGTATAGAACAATGCATAGGAAGGGAGCTCCGAGCTCTTACAGTACTTGAGAACGAGTCCACTGAAAACGGAAGTCGTGCATTTGAATTCCGCGAATCATTGACATAGACACAATATCACGCGACGAACGACCATTTTGAGAGCAGCACTCCTCCCATGGAGCAGGGAGGGACGCAAACAAAGCAACAGATGGAAAGTGGCAGTTTAACGAGCGATGAACCATTATTGTCTTCACTACTCAAGCTACTACTTCTACAACTACTACATTTTCGAACTCGATTCTCATCCCTACAGCGACATCGATTCTTCGCCGTACGTTCATACATCCATACCTGCATACGAACATAATGACATGCGTACGAACATACATATATGGAACAATATACATAAATAATATATATAAATATTTATATATTTGTCACACGAGGAATGTTTTTCTAGCTTCTCCCTCCATTCTCTATATGTATTTGGTCATCCCTAGGTAAGGACGGCATTTAAAGAATGAGACAGCGGACTTTTGGAACCGCGGGACACTTTCATGGTGAATGATGATTCAACACTGAAGACAACAACAACAACAACGACCACCACCATCACAATCAAACCACGACAGAAAAGCAACCATCACGACCTCAGCATAAGTTCATGAGCATCCGAAGCGACAACAATTAAGGCATCATGAACTCAATCACATCTGATCTACATTTCAAAGACGACTTCCAACCCGATGACTTGTTCTCGTCTCGATCTTCACTCAATCAAGAGCATTGCGGAGAGATCGGACGTAGAAGCGCGACGAACAAGTCTATACAGATACGATCGGACGAAAAACATTCTTGGATATCGGTCGCATAAGCAAACGACGACAAACGTCGGCATCATCATCCGATGTGAGTCGAGTAACGTGATTCGAAACTCAGACGATAACAAAACCAAGCTTCAGGTGTAGAACGAGTGCGTCTGGCTCATCGAAATACACAGACAAACAGACACAGCCCAGAAAGCAGAGCCGCAAGCCTCCTGTCATGTTTTTCGCAATTTCTCACACTATTTTAAGGATCGATCCTCTGTCTAGACAACAGATCGATTCAGCAGCACCGCACAGAGGCTCATTCGGAGATGAACAGCTAGAACAAAATCGTTAGAGGAGGCGATCAGCGAAAGCGGAGCGTCTGCCTCCAGACCACAGATATTTTCGAGCTCAAGCATGATTCTCGCTACGACTGTTTTCATCGACGTCTCTTGTGCACCGACCAGAATCACAAAAAAAAGGTTCAGGCCCCAAGTCTAGTCCGATTGAGTGCTTTTTGCGAGGAATGCGATGCACTTACACCGTAGGTTTGGAAGAGATTCATTTATGACCACGTCATCCGCTGCAGCGAGAAGCATCGGAGGGGCAAGGGTGGCGACCGCATTGTCTAACACAGACTGGTCGCATCGATGGAAATTTTTCCGGATACACATGTATTCTTTAGAATTGCGGTCCCTCGCAAGCCTCATGCCGATCCTCCTCGTCCTCTTCCGCTCTAGCAGCATATGAGTCGCGCCTTCGGGTAATTTGAGACTCGATGACGAACGGATGGCTAGGACCGAGAGTTGCGTCAACGGATCCTACACCGTCTTCCAGAGAGGCAGGATAGACGGAACTTCCGACTTTACGGGTGTCTGTCGCGCTTTCTCCTGCAATCGGCCAACACAAACACGCATGATAATGATGGAACCGGTTCCTTCACAGAGAACCTTGACACTCTTTGACTTTTGACCTTCCGACTTTAATCGTGTAGGAGACAGTAGACGACTTCTGTGATACCAATAGCGGTGACTCCTGAACATACACCAAACGAGGAAACCCCCTGAGAACCAAGCAGCCAACGAGAGTCGAGCAGAAGAAGCAGAAATTAAAATACATAGGTGTGTCACGAACCACCAGCATCATCAACGATATTTTCCTACGACCCAGTCATCACCGGGCTGTTGTCGGTCAGCGGCCATCGATCACTCATAAACTCGCGCAGCTCCAAAAATTCACTTCATTGAGAGACGATCCCCTTGAAGCACTCGGTGACCCACACCTGTCGCGTAATTGGCCAACAGCTCTCGCCGAGAACTCTAAATTCTGCGTCGGAACCTCGGAGTTCTCTCATGTCTCAGGACCCCATAGAAAACTTGATGTCTGAACGAGCCCGAATCTTTGTGGGAACGTTCAGACCTATTGTTGGCTTTTGATATCTCAAGGATCAATCATCGACGATGCGTCTGATTGTAAATAGTCAAACTGACCACAGACGAGTCGACGAGGCTAGACCGAAATGCAGAAACAACCTGTAACCTTCTCTACGTTTCTCCTCCGGCTCCCCTACAGACATCCCACACAACATCGGTTTCTCAAAGCGAGCATTACGTGCAACCGAAACGTCTTGTGAGCAATACATACGACGAAACGCATACACTGCATTTTCTAGTTCTGAGAACACACGGTGCGTAATTTAAAAAAAATTCTGAGCGGAAACCTTACACAAGAACAGTTCAACCTTTGGTCACCACCATCTTCCCGAGCCATTTTCCTGTAGACGCTTAGATCGTATCTAATCTCCCCACCTCCAACCACGCGGCTTACGTAACTGCGCCACCTGAACTACCCACCATGCAAGAGACTTCGAGACGAAACCCGTCCCGTTCTTCTGAGAAAAGAAATTATCCTTAGTATTCGGTGCGATGGAGCTTATCGCAAAAATTTGTGGAGCGCAACTGAAGTGTCACTGAGTGCACCCGGTGCGCTCCAATCATTTTCCGAGGATTAGGTTATTCCGAATTCGGTCCCATATGCTCCTCTAGAACGAGCCACAAGGCGAGCTCGAGAGGGTGGGCCAGCGGACGCGGTCCGATCCGCTGATCCGTCGGGAAAGATTCCCCTTGAAAGTTTGGTTGCAACCCGTTCGGGTCGGTC